ATGCGGTGTGCAGCCATGCGGTGTACAGGTATGCGGTGTGCAGCCATGCGGTGTGCAGCCATGCGGTGTACAGGTATGCGGTGTGCAGCCATGCGGTGTGCAGCCATGCGGTGTGCAGGTATGCGGTGTGCAGGTATGCGGTGTGCAGCCATGCGGTGTGCAGGTATGCGCTGTGCAGCCATGCGGTGTGCAGGTATGCGGTGTGCAGCCATGCGGTGTGCAGCCATGCGGTGTGCAGGTATGCGGTGTGACATTGATGTTCTGTATTATTAAAGAGGCCGGCTTTCCCTGCTTATCCAGGCTGTGAGGGTGACTCATATCACTCTCTGTGGCGTGATGCCTTCTGTCTGTCCGTCCTCACACTTCGACGTGTCGACCTGACATTACCGCGGTTTGCCGTCGGCTTCGCTCATGGCCCACGCTCAGTGACAGCTTGCACAACATTGGTACACACACAACGCCCCTCTGCCCAAAATCACGCGCTGGTAAATAATAAATGCTGAGGGCCATGCATGACGTCACAACAATAATGGCAGATTCGTTAATTTTTAATTAATCAATGTGTGTCAGCTGTAACTCAGCTCTGAGGAAGACCTTGCATTTTTATCTGCAGCAGGTACTGTGCTGGGGCCATTTTGAAACAGAATTAGTGTGTGTCTCATGTCCTGTGCTCCTGTGGTTTATTTGGCAGAAATGCTGCCCTTTTCCTGTGTTTTATACTGCACTTCTCTGGTTCCAGGCTGCAGCCTTATTTTTTTGGTAGAATGAGCCATTTCTCAAGCTGCCTCTCAGTACTGGAACGCACATCATGATGGGGAAGGTTAATAGCGGCTTTATCGCGATGCTTCGCTGCAGTAGAAGGGCTTCCAGCGCGGGCCGTCTTATCCGTGAATGAAGGTGCCGCATCCTCGGTGCTGCGAGTCTTTTTGCATGCTCACGCCTTATCAGAGGAGCGTACTGAACAGCTTTATTTAACACCCCGGTGGATCTTTGGCAGCATTTCACGCCGCCCTGGTGAAAATGTGGCCGTCCCCTGGTGTTGCTTCACACGCGTGTTTATGACACACTGATGCCCCCCCCCCCCTTGTGCCCTCAGGGTAATCAGGACGCCACGGCACCTCCTGAAACGATGGCTCAGCCCTACGCCTCAGCCCAGTTTGCGCCCCCCCAGAACGGCATCCCTGCAGAGTATACGGCGCCCCACCCGCACCCCGCCCCGGAGTACACAGGCCAGACCACGGTGCCCGAACACACGATAAATATGTACCCCCCAGCGCAGACGCATGCCGAGCAGAGCGGGCCCGACACGGGCGTACAGACGGTCTCCGGCACAGCCACAGTAAGTACCGCCACCTGAGGCGCATTAATAGGTGTGCTCAGTCACATGACCGCACGTCACATGACCGCACGTCACATGACCGCACGTCACATGACCGCACGTCACATGACCGCACGTCACATGACCGCACGTCACATGACCATAAGAGTAAAGTGGCTATCTGACTGAGGTGACGTTTAACACCTGTGTTCAGTGTCATAATGCACATCGCTCTTCACACACAGACACAATGTCACTGGCATTATCACCTGAGTTTATCATCTGTTACTATCATTATTGTCGTTAGAACGTGCATCTGGGGTCATTGACAGCATGTGCATTTTAAAGCCTTCAGGAGTATGTCCTCTCTCTCTTCTGGCTGCATGGAGCCTGCAGCTGTAATGCGGCGCGCTGTCTTTAAACGCCGGCCCGCTGAAGTGCGTTTAAACAGAGGCAGGAGACGAGGTTCCCTTTGTTAAATATTGTGTTTGGAAGCCGACCATGTTTTTCCATGGTTTGCTTGTCAGGCTGAGCCAGACCTCAGCGCTTTTTTTAAAAGAGAGAGTTTCTGCGGGAATTATTCCGGGTTCTTTGTCTCCGAACGAAACGCTCCATTTTCACAGCCCCGACTCGGCAAGGCGTGCTAGGAGAGGGGTCTCTAACCCGTGCTTGGGGACTGCCATGATGACAGATGAGCCGCCAGTGTTTGCCTGCAGTGGATATTTTGACTCAGAAGGCCGAAGGCGGCCTTTTGGCTGGGTGTGACGCCCCTGCGTGGTGATCAGCACACTTTGCCGCATGCCAGATGTAAAGAATGGGGGAGGAAACACAGAGTCACAGCTGGAAAAGCCATTGGGGCCTTTGGGGCTGGAAGAGGGGGAGGGGGCCAGGAGAGTGACCTCATCACACAGCAGCTCTCAGTGAGGATGAGGGCCTGACGGGGACAAGGCCCTGTGCGGGGGATCCTGTCCATTTGCAGGCCTGAGAGCGATGTGGACCTGCGGCGCTGACCAGACTGGGCAGCGTGTCCCTGAAATTTCCCAGGGAGTGGGGAGGGGGGGGTGCATAGCCACGGGACAGGCTGAGCGGGTCTGCTCTGCCGCACAGATTCAGACAAGGTAAAACACCATGCACAACTACTGGTGGATAGCAGTGTGATTTTTCACGAGGTGCATTCTGGGAGGTTCGCTGGTTTTTCCCAGATGCTGCTGTTTTCTGCACTGGGTAATGCTCTCCTAACCAGTTAAGGAGCATCAGGATGCCAAAGCTTTGCATGCAGCTTATGACCCCAAAGCATGTGACTTCATCTCTTTGTGTGAGGGGTACAGTGTGTACCTCCAGTTCTCCACCCTTGTAGCTAATGGCAATGGGGGGGGTGGCCCATGATCTACCCTCCTGGGTGTCACCCTATTTATTTATTATTTTAACCATTCTGCAGATGCTGGAGCAGCATGGCTTTACTCTGCCTGTTTATGCAACATATTTACTACAGTACTTCGGGTCAGGTGTAAATTTAGGTTAAGTACCTCATTGGAAACATAGCCCCCGCTTCCCCCCACTCCTCTCACCTTCCGCTTCCCTGGGTTTTGTAGTTTTTAGTTTTGTAGTCTAGTTCTTTAATTGTGGTGCCACCTGTTGGTGCACACTGGTGGGTGGTGGTGAAGCGACACAGGGTCCCCGGTATACAGAGCAGCTGGTACCTCAGGGGTGTGGGCAGGTAGAACTCTCCGGAATGGAGCAGTAGGTTGGCGAGCTGGTCCGGCCCTATGCAGCGTGGTGTGGCGTGGGGATCTGATGGGATCCCCCTACTTCACCATTCCTTAGTAATTTGCTTCATGCCGAGAATCTCGCATAATCCCCCACCCCGCAGCCTGGCCAATGATCTGCTACCCTCCCCCCCCTTTTCCTAAGCCCCCAAAGGCCCCGGGTCATAAACCCCCCCCCCCCCCCCCATCATAGCCGCTCTCAGACATAAACACCAGTCGGGTGAAAATGCCATACCTCGGCAGCCATCGAGGCAGACAGAAAAACATTGTGATGCGTGACTCATCTTTTTCACCGTTATACTAACTTGGGATTCTGGGAAATACAGAAAGATGCTCCGTCTCCCTGACTGGGGTGAGCAGTTGACCGCATGACCTTCCTCTGAAAATGTCAAATTGTAAACTGGCCCTAGTGCTTAAGAGGCACTTGCATGGTGACATGGGCATCAAACTCCAACCCAGCTCTGATGAGTTGCATCTTGCAGTGAAACACACACTGCACTCCTGCTAGCTGTCCCCATGACAGAGATGCAGACTGCCAGCTAGGGGTTAGAGGGCCTGGTTCTGGGCCCCAGTCATACCCTCATTCATGGTGACCTGCATGTGTGAACTTTTTGGGATTAGTACTATGTGATTTTTGGACATTTGGAGTGTATGATGTGAGTATTTTGCTCCTTCCCTGGGATAGGGGACAGTACCGCAAGGTAATTGGGTCCTGACTCATGCCATGAGGGATTTTTTCCATGTTTGGATGTGCAGCTTGTTGAGTTCTGGTAATGGAGAAGCAGCGTGTCTGAGGTGTGGCAGCAGTAGCCACTCATGGTTGGTGCCTGGGTCGGGTAAACGGCCCTGCACAGTACGGCCAGTGATTAATGCGGCCCGGAAGCTTCTCGCCATGAGACGGGCTCTGCACTCGTTCGCACCATCGGGTCGTAATTACCCCTCAGTATGTGGTCCCCTGTTTGCTAACTGCCTATTTCCTCACATCCCACTGGTGCTGCTGGCAAGTGTTACGGCTGAGGGGCATGGGTGGGGGGGGGGGCACTCTGATTAACACCATGCAGCTCTGGGGGAGGGGTGTTTGGGGGGTAAATTGGGGTCAGGATCTATGAGTTTTTTTTTGGGGAGGTTGATTTAGGTTTAACATCTGGGGGGTTGTTTGGAGGGACTGAATTAGGTTGAGGGTCTGGAGGTAGGAGCTGGAGACCATCTTCAGCTTGGCCCACATTCTCCTGCCCCGTAAGCAGCTAATGGAGGACTGTTAACTTGATGTAATGAAGGTGCCTAACGCCCCATCACCCATGACCTCTCTGACACTATGACTGTGAACCCCAGGCAGGTCTCCCAAACGAAAAGCCGCCCCAGCCCAGATCGCACCACTGACCATCGGCAAACAGCTGAGCAGGCTTTTAACATTGTTTTTCTAACGATGATAACGAAATGCCGTTAAGGCTTTGGTTGCCATGCGACCGACTCTGCTAAATGAATCACAGCTAAAAACATATTATAAGAAAATTAATCTGCCGTCGGATGGCCCGGGATCAAAGAGCGAGATAAAAATAGCAGGGAGAATGAAACGATCCTTACAGCTAAGGTTAGGAATGCAGACGCCGTGCTTCCTGTGTGCTGCTGTCGCCCGCTTTCAGTGCCCGTGTTTCCAGGCAGGCCTCTCTTTCTAGGGGAAAACTGAGCTTTTCTCTTGTTTAAGATCAAATCCATACAGCAGTGATGCTGGTTAAGGACAATACCTCTGTGCCGACTCCACATCGTGCAAGATCTCCCCATGTTTCCTAAGCCGCTGCCCCGCTATATAAACGCCAGCCTCCCCTCTGCCTCTCTGCCTATTACAGATAAGTGAGGCAGATTGTGCGTTTAATGGAAATAGAGGACGCTGGGAGCCTTGCGGAGTGTTTATATTCCTAAAGATTTCAGGTCAAGCGGACGGACGCGGCCCGCAGTAGCTACGCGTTTATCTTGATTTAAAAAATATGCGGTTTGTCCATTAGAGCACGGATAAAGCGAAAGGAAACCGGGCGGCTTTTTCATTTGCTCACCGCGCACACAGCCGGGGAAATTGTCAGATTATAATAATACAAGCGAGATACTTTCTCTGCGCGAGCAGAGAGAATTATTCTCTGTTTTGTTCCGTGGAGGAGCGCCTGCAGTGTGAAGATTTATTTCGGAGTGATTTCTGCGGGGGATTGTGTGGCGCGGGCGAAGGCGGCCGGGTGGGGCCCCTAGGGTGAGGGCGGGGCCTCAGCGGGCCCCGCAGAGCCACAGCGTAGCACCTCTGCATTTTTATTAGCTTCTGTGCACTAGCCCGTTGCATTTCAGGCGGAGCCGCTGGCCCACACTGCCAGATACGACGCTGCGTTCTTGGCCGGCTGCGCTTCGCTGCAACTCCCACGCATTGCAGCAGTGCAGCTCCGGCGGGGAGGAGGGGGGCGTGTTCTATTCGTCACGCCGTAAATCACATCCTGACGAGTGAACGGTTGCGTGGTGCAAGAAAACTGCAGTGAGGAGCCGAGCACCAGAACGCTCATCTTAACGACGTGAACCTTTTGTTTTTAGGGGGGACGGGATGCCCCCCTCCCCCCCCAGCGTTGATTAGCTTCCAGTAAAGCCAGTTTAATGCTGCTTATATACCTTTCATCCAGTAAGAATGGAGTAAAACAGCATGTGACAAAATAGGAGTCTCCTTCATTGCAGCAGATGGCTAATATGGTCTTTGGGGATACCCCCGTGTGATTTCCCCAGACTCCTACACTTAATGTGAGCAGCATTTCCCAGAATGCTCAGGGCCCGGCCCCCGTTCACCCATTTTTTTCCTTGGTCTAGTAAACACTAGCAAGAGCATTTTAATCTCAGCTGCCTGTTGTGATAAACGCCATGTTCAGGCACGGAGGGAAAACATCACTCAGCGTGGAGCAGGGGCAGACTTAACACCTCTTCTGTGGAGGAGTTGAAGAGAGCAGTGCATTGTGGGAAGAGAGGAAACAGAGATGTAATACCCTGGTGAAATTGGGCAAGGGAGTCGCCGGGGCTGCGCACCTCAGGGTCTGCCATTTCATGTGGCTGAAAAAATTAGCAATACGGTGAAGTATTAATTTCAGGACATTCACTGGACATTTTTTCAGTCCCCACAAGGGGAACTTCAGTTTTATAAAAATCAATTAATATAATCAAAAAACTAAAAATGGCAAAGCTTTTCTGGTTAATGTTAGGACTGAGTAGGCATTGTGGTTGTCATAGTTGGGATTATGGTTATGCCCCTGGAAATGAATAGAGAGTCCCCACAAAGATATAGATACCTAATCTGCGTGCGTGTGTGTGTGTTTGTAAATATACCCTTGTGGGGACCCAATTTCCCCACAATGTGTTAAGAACCTGTAACTGTTTACCATGTGAGACAACCTCACTTCTATAAAAATCTGTGACTGCAATCAAAAAACTAAAAATACCAAAAGTCTTGTATTTTGTTTAGTTACTTGGGGTTAAAGTTGCTGGGATTAGGGTTAAGCCAATAAAAATTAATGGAGAGTCCCCATAAAGACATGAATATATGGACTTTGTGTGTGTCTCTCAAAGCCTCAATGACATCGTCATTAATTCACCTTGACGGTGCATCCTTCCCTGTTATGACACATTACAGTGTCGCAGGAATGTGACTGCATTTTGTCCCTAAGAGGTCACGTGACACCCTGGCCATTGAGATGGGTAATTGGTGTGAATCCTAAGCAGCTCCTCCGTCATGCCGGTCATTGCAGCTGCCGAGTTTGTAGTGCATGTTTGTGGTGGCGGGACGTGCGCATGGCCCTCGCACGGCCCTCGCACGGCCCTCGCACTACCTCTGTGTGCCGCGAGCTTCGAAGCTCTGTGCCTATTTTTAAAGACACCTAAGGCACTTTCTCCCCATCAGGACTTTTCTGGCCCATTACTGGCAGAATATGAGCATACATAGACATATATATAGAGCCCAGAAAGATCCTCTCCCTCTGCGTGAGTCCGACAGCCCAAATCAGTCTTCGAATCTCAACAACGGCAGTGGCCATTTGTGGCCGAGAGCTCCGAGGGGCAAAATAAATTGGCCCGGTCCTGCTGTGGGAGAGAGCGGAATCGGCTAGAACTCATCCACCGACGGACGCCAACGGGACACGGAAGAAAACCACCATCGAGCCTGTCAGGTGCCTGCGAGTTACTGCCCACCACTAGTGGGGGCTGATCCGCTACTATTGCTTAACCCCCCCAGGAAAAAGAAAAAATCCAGAAAGTTCTGAAGTGAAATAAGGAACTATAAATGACAAAATGAGCAGAGCAGCCTGGCAGTGAGGCGTGTTTTCCGTCATGGTAATGCGAGTGGAGATAATCCCACACTTTTAATGCCTTGACTTAAACGAAGGGCTCGGTGCAGCAGGAGCAGCTGACATGCGACTGGCAGCCCTCCCTGCGCCTACTTTCATTCCCCCCCATTAGCCACCGCCAGCCGCGCTCTCCCAGCATGCCTCCTGTCCGTCGCAGCCCCGGCTCAGCGGTGGCCTGTGTCTACAGCGCTCCTGTGGAGACGCACAGTGCTCAGGCGCTCAGCCGGCCCTGCCGTGCACCGCTAAGGGTCCTCGAGCTGCGGGGCATTTGTGAGCGGGGACCTTCGTCTCATGAAACAGCGCCACACCTTGGCAGTGGCCAGTACTGGTATGACACTCTTCGGCTCACAGGTATAGGGTGTTAAAAGTGTGTGAGAGCAGCTGCTGTAAGACCTGTAAACCCTGCAGAGCTGATATATTAGCAGTATTAATAAAGGGAAACCAGGCTTCCCCAATGGGGAAAGCAGGGTGTGTCTCACAGGAGCCCCATGGGTCACTGATTAACGGGGGTAATTTCCCTTTCCAGACTGACATTAACGTAAGTTAAAGTAATATTAATATACTGTATTAGAGCACCTCACAACCCTGCTCAGGATGCGATGCTGGAAGATGGATGTATTGAAGCAAATAGATTAACTGTATATCAGTAATGCATTATCATTTGCGTACATTAAAAATAAAACTGCAGCGCAGCATCACACCGTTAGGGTTGTGGGTTCCATTCCTGGCTGCAGCCCTGCATGTGCGTGCTTTTGCATACTGGCATGGGCTCCCAGCTTGCCGCGACCCTGTACATAAGCCATCATGGAAAATGTATCAGTTTGCGTGAAGCTTTTCCTAAAACTTTTACTGGGTGGGATTTAAAATCTGGTGTAGCTAATTAATCATAGCTCATATCCAAAATAAATAATAACACTTCTCTTTTGGATTTTTCATTGTGCACATATTTAACCTTTATTGGTCATAAGTTTTTCACATGGAAGATATAATATGCATGTGCTCTGAGCCTATTAGTGTGCTTTATTAATCAGCGTGCTATGCCCCGCATCCGGGGACCTCACCATGGGGCTCACACCTGCCCTCTCTGCTGGGGGGCGTCACCGAGAGCAGTCGATTAGGAACAGGGCAGGCCTCCCCGCGGGGCTGAGAAATTTCAGACGCTTCTAATGTCTGAAACCTTAGTGTGTTTGGAGCCGTTTTCACTGCCCTCTCTTTTCACCGTCTTCCCTCCAGTTGTAATGGTTTAAATGGACAGACCCGATTTGCAGCGCATCTGCCTTCCCGCCCCCAGCAACAGCTAGACCCACAGCCCCCCCAGGTAGAGTCTCCTCAGGCCGTTTATACAGCAAAGCTCTGTTAGACTGACTTCTCTGCGCTGGTTGAATTGAGAGATGCTCTGAAGCGTGAATCTCCCAGATACATATCATACATGAGGACCCTGTGTTTTCATTGGTCCGATGCCCAGGGTCTTTTCAGCCTGGAATGGAAGTGGCTTTCTCATCGCTACGGTAACTGGGCCGCAGTTCTAACTGAACTTTCAGATTCGGGCCTGGCCACCCCAGTGTCCCGCATCGCTTGGCAGGCGCTGGCCTCGCCCGTTTGTTTTTCCAGCCGGGAGGAGCGGGGCATCGGCAAGCTCAGGCCGAGTTTCCAGTCGAGCTGCCGAGCCCAGCTGCTAATTAAACGACCGCGCCTGACAGTTCGCAGAAAAGCGACGGGACGCGTGTCTATGTGGCCCGAGGGTGACTTTGGCATCAACTCTAAGGAAGAAATGGTCCATCAGTCTGTATAGGTGGTTGAGGAGGTTCTCAGACGTAGTTGTCCCAGGGCCCTGTGAACCACATGGACAGCATCGTCACTGCTGTGCCCATTCATGGAGGTTGGATACTTTATTAATCCCAGACTATGTTACAGGTTTATAGGACCACAACATACAAATTTAGAAGTAAAATGGGGACTTAGACATTAATAGACCTCAACGATAAATAATAGACAATACTAGTACCTGTGCAAAGAATGTCAGGGACAGTATTTGATGGTGTTCTGCAGTAAGGCTCAGTAATAAAGTGTTAGTATTGATAGCATTACAAAGGGAGATGTACAGAGAACAAACAAATGTTGTATAAATGTACCTAAGCAGTTCTGGTCCATTCAGACAGGTGGTTCAGAACTGCTTAGGTGGTGATGAGCTGTCCTGACTTCACTGACCATAAGCAGTGTGGAGTGGCATGAAGATTGCGCCTTCATCCCCCAGCCGTCTTTACCTTTCCTGGTGGGGGCTTCAAGCCCTCTCCATGAGCACCTAAGTTCAGCACAAAAAGAAACCCCTCCCTCTAGGATTATGGTATGCTACTTTATACTTCAAAGGCGAGTAAACATTTGTTTTTCTATTTTTTGTTTCTGATTACTGCTGAGATCTTCAATGGAAACATACCCGGGACCGCAATTTCGAGGGGGGGGCGCAGCCGAGGCGAGGTCACGGGCGGCCGGTCCTCAGGGGAGTGCAGAGCGAAGGGGTTTCTTTTCTCTGAAACACTGTAAAATGCGCTCACCTTTAACCGAAGCGACCCAGCGACCTTAGATAGATGAATATGAGAAAAAGTGAGGCTGGATTGTCACCCTGATCATGTGACTGCGCACGAGCGCCGAGGTGGATCTTCTGTAATGACAGAAATGCTTCATTTTCAGTCTTACCCCGCTAGCTAGGGAATGCTCACGTGCACACACAGCGCTTCAGCTTCTGCTCACTTGCTACCCATTAAGTTCATTTTAGAAGCACAAATAAGTCTGGACTCGTAACTCTGAAACTACCTCTATCTATACATTGCACCATTCCACTTCCATACCAAATGTATGTGGCAAATGTTTCCCCTCCAATCAGGTGGTTAACTATTTCTTTTGTCTGTCTAAATGTTCAAGTCTTGCAATGTAATATTTATATTATGTTTATTTGTCTCAGCATTTATATTCTATTTATTACTTTTCATTTGTACTATAACCAGCGAGAACGATATTTCACCTCAGTGTATGACCCACGCGTCACATATCTGCACTTGACAATAAAAGATACTTTGACTTGTGCAGTTTTTTTAATAACGGAAATTAAAATGGTATGTAGCCCACACCAAGCTTAGCTATGTGCAGGGTCATTTAAATAACTTATTAATGTTTTATTTATGACATACTTAATGACGAGATGTCATTTCAGGTCACTACTCTGTAATAGACTGTCGCGCTGTTGTTTTGTACGGAATTACAGAGGAGCAAAAACGAGATCGAATTTTTGTTTGGAATTAATACCGAATGATACCAAACTTATTAGGCGTGCGATGGCGAGATGGCTGCAGTTTCTGCTTTAAGTGAAACAACACTTGTAATGATCAGTCATCATCATAATGCTCTTCCTCTCCAGCAGACAGACGATGCAGCACAGACCGATGGGCAGCAACAGACGCAGTCATCCGACAACACGGAGAGCAAAACGCAGCCCAAGCGGCTGCACGTGTCCAACATCCCGTTCCGCTTCCGGGACCCGGACCTCAGGCAGATGTTCGGAGTAAGCGGCTCCGTTTACGGTGTCTGGACGGTGGGAGGGAGGGAAGGACACTGAGACCCGTAATAAAAAAGACTCTGCATTTTTTAAATTCTTCTATAAATGTATTTTATATACATTTATTTGTATTCGTATTTATGGCATGTCATTATATCGAAATTTACACACTCTAAAGAGCATAAGTTTAATTTCGTCTTTTAGAAATCTTTTTTTTCTCCAGACCCACACCCCATATTGCCAATGAATCTTCTGTTGACTGATGTGTAACAACACCATTCATAATTGATGAAACGTTAAAAGGCAGGCTATTAAAAGCTTATTAAAAGGCACAGTTATTAATCCTCGGTTTCCCGTGAATTCCTGGCACTGTGAAAGGCTAAATATTACGGTAAATGACAGTAAAATTCCCGCTGGGAAATGTATGAATTCATCACGCGCTGGCTGTGATTGACGCAACGGGAAGTAGAACCGAGGGAAAATACTCAATATGTATTTGGCGTTCATTCCCGTAGCGTTTCTTTAAATCGTATACTCGCCCAGCCATGGATGCATGACTGTACAGAAAGCGGAACTTATGTGAATCGTTGACTGAATCTGTGCGGGTCCCACTACTGAGGTGACATTTTTCATTAAGAAGTAACATGTCAGCCAAACCGAGTCTGGGAAACGTACACACATCTGAAGTTTAATCGAACAACATGAGTGTCTCCGGTGTTTTTCTGTTTCGTATTCAGTGAGAACTTCTCTTTTCCCCGTCTCTTTTCAGCAATTCGGCAAAATCTTAGATGTTGAAATAATTTTTAATGAACGAGGATCCAAGGTACGTGATCCACCCACACCTTCTGCATGCTCTGTCACCTCGATGTCAGTGAGGCAGGAAAGGTGCTTTTTAAATGGGACAAAACTGGTAGAATGATCAGTATCAGGAACTGATGATGACAGATCAGAATTGTTTTACTTAGAAATGACAGTGTAAACACATTCCTAGCATATATGTGTCTGATTTTAATTAGGGTATAGGATAATTTATAGCTGTTTCTTTAATAATCCTTGTATTTAGAGGAAATAAACACTGAATTATAACGTGAATTGCACAAGTTAATCTTTTATTTGCCTGTCAACTGTAAATATTTACATAGTTTAACACTTTTTGTCCGTGTTTTATATCCTTTATGGCTATAAGAATATGGCTAGATCTGGTTTTTATTCATTTTCAACCCTAAGTTCTCTTTCAATGATTTGGTTTGTTTTTGTATATGAATATTTTACGGTTGTGTTAAGTTGTATTGTTAAAATATTTATGCATGTAGAATGACTGTTTTAATTTTCGTTGGCTTGTCTACTGCAGTCTTACAAGTTTGTGTTCAAACACACAGTGTTTATATCGATTCCATTTGTTTCTTTCAGTAGAGTTTATTTTCTTCTGTTATGACATGTTACAGGTATTTTTTTGCTTTTAACGACTTTTTGGGAGATGTTACTTGCTTTTATTACCTGGTTTTCTCAGGGGTTCCGATTTAATGAGGCACTCTCACGTGTGGCTTTTTGTAATCTGCATGTACAGTGCAAGGAGGGCGGCAGAAATGTGAAGTAGCGATGTCTGCGGAGCGCGCGGGCATTTTTGGTCGGCGATTGAATTAATAATGTGCATGTTGTTCTCCCTCCCCCTCCCCCTTCTCCCGCCTGCATGCAGGGATTTGGTTTCGTAACTTTCGAAAATAGTGCCGATGCGGACAGGGCCAGGGAGAAATTACACGGCACGGTGGTTGAAGGCCGTAAAATAGAGGTGCATGTTACCGATGTTTCCCTTCTCATCGTTTTTAATAAATGTCTGCTCTCACTGTCATTTTGTTTTGGACGCATTGTCTGTCTCTTCACGTGCAAATCCCTCCCTCCCTCATGGTTTCTTTCTTTAACTTTATTTTATGTTTTATATGCAAAAGGTGACTTTTAGGCCTATATATTCATTTTCGATTAATTTTCTTTATTTACTTTAGCTAGTCGATCTAGGCTTTTTCCTACTACTGACTTTAAGGTCTTTAAGTTGGTTATGATTTATGTACAACCTTGAGAAAGATAAATGAAATTATGATTTATTTTTTTTCCTATGTTAAAAGTAATGTGGGTGCAGTAACTTCCCAAACGAACGAAAAAACAGCGATTGTATAATTATGATTAGTTAGCGTATTACAGGGTTGATGAGGGATATGCGGTGGCGTGTAACTAGGGCATAAAATCCTCGTAACGTGTGTTAATTGGGATCGCAAGGAATACTTTCAGGAGACGATTATAAGTCGAACAAGAACTGCATCCAAATTTGAATTTTACGGCCTGGGCTGCTGATTTTCCCTCAAAATTGACTCACGCTTCTCTGCATTTTTTTTTAAAAAGCACGCAATGCGCTGATCAAAAAGTCATTAGAGATTGTATCGAGATTATTGTCACCCCTGTTTCCCATTCAACACTGTCTTCAGCTGGTTTATTTTTTTTAGACTCTAGAGTGATTCCGATATTAAGTGGTGTAGTCTTTGAGTAAGATGTTGCATATTTTGCCTTCTCATTTTCCCCCTTTCCAACGATAGCACATAGGGCCCTCACTCAGTAACCATGGTAACTGTACACATACACACGCGGGCGATGGTGCCGAATGGTAAGTGGAGAAGTCCATCTGCCGTTTCACGTATTAAGCTCTGATACCACGTGAATTTTTTTGACTTGTTCAGTTTCTTGATGCTATTTTACATTGGTACGCCTGTACTTGAGTGTACGTTTAGCTGTCTCAGAGGCACTGATCGGACTGACCTGAGTCGTGCACATCTTACTCAGATTGTAAACTCCATATTGTGTTAAACAATGCACCCCCTTTTATCCTTTGTTAGCTGTGGTTTCAGCTGGAATGAGTTTTTTTTTTTTTTATTATTATTATTGCGATGAAATAAAGGCTCTTGTTCCAAGTGTTTGAATGCTAAATGTTGCTTTTTCCAATGACACTTCTATTCTGAATAGTTTATGTTGCACAATGCTAAACTTGTTTGTCCTTTTTGACATTTTATTTTATTTTTCTTTTATGTTTGTACCTTGTCTCTCTTCCCCCTTTCCACTGCATGTCCCTTCATATATAGGCTATTGTTTGTTTTCATTTATTCTGATTTCTCTTTGACTTTATCATGAACAGATGAAGCATGCTTGAAAATCTCTTAAAATGGAAATACGCAATTTTTAATTTGCTTTGTGTGTCTTTTTAAGTATTGATATATGATACTGCTTTTTAAGTGAAATGGAATTTACTTGTTTTGTTACTTTTTATTATACAAGTACCTTGATTAGTTTAATGCATGCCATTATACATTTAAGACGTAATTGGGTCAAGCTATCGCCGTGAATGTAGCGTTTGCTAATTCTCCTTTTTTATATTTAGGTTAATAACGCAACAGCACGGGTTATGACAAATAAAAAGACAGTCAACCCTTATGCAAATGGTAAGTTACAGAATCTACTTTTTATACAGCTCATCTGTCACGCCGCTTATGAGCATCTTGTTTGTGGGCAGAGTTTCCTTCGACGTGCATGTTAAAGACGGGGACCGATGGGACGTGACAGGGTCTGCCGTTAAGTTGCTTAGTTACCGTAAGCATCGTTAAAGTCGCATCCATATCCAGGTTCTTCACACTCACAGCTTTCCGCCGCAGTGCCTCTAGTGGTGGCTAAGCAGTCGATCGCGATAGGTCGATTTTTCAGACATTCATAGATGATCGCAATCAGTCGTCAGTTCTTACCATTGCTACCCAGTAGCTCCCCAGATTATTATTATTATTATTATAAATATTGCCTATCTGGACCCATACCTGAAACAAATTATTAAATTTTATGAAGTAGAAGTTATTTTCCGCTATTTTTTGTAACAATATTGCAGTTTGATAGAGAAATAAACCAAGTGCAGTCTGAAGTCATCAATACACAAATGAAGTGAGATTAAAAACAAAGCAACAGTACAGAAAAAACCGTGGGTTTATTTGTCGTCATTTAAAAACGAAGTCGGGGCAGTAAGAGTGAATGCTTATTAACATTTTCCAAACTGTGCAGACTTTTCTGCCAAAATATTAAGTGCAATAATTTTGGATTTTCCCAAGTAAAACAGGTCATGTTTCTGTTTGCTATTCAGCTCAGGAGGGTTCAAATATTTCCCAAGGACTGAGTCAAGGAACAGATCGATCGCACATACTTGTTAAAATAAGTATGGACTTGTGTGAAAATAAGTAAGTTCATCGTTATTCTGACCATGGGTGTAAATTACGGGGGGTGGTAACCCCCCCAATAATTAAAACCGCCCAATACAACCCCCAGGACCCCTCTAAATGGGTGGAGATTTCAACCCCCCCCCNCTCAACCCAAAGTTACACCCTCATTGCTGACTAATATATTTTTTCCTCTAAAACAAAATCAACTTTTTGGTATTGGGACATTTTAATTAGCTACACGAATGCACCAGTGCACTAAACACATTAAACCAATTACATTTGTGAAATGAACACTTTTTTTTCCTCCTGGAAACAGGCATGTCAGTCATCTTCGTAGGAGAAAAAAAGAAATTAGGAGTGTGAATGAATGAGTCCAGAGCCTAGAGAGAGCTTCAGAGCTCTAATTTGCTGTAATCAGTAGGGTATGAATTTACATGTTTTACGCATTTTAATCGTATAGCACTACAGCCAAACAATACGAGTCTTTTGTTGTATCCTGAAAGACGGCAAATGAGCTAATTAATTAATATTCCTCATCCATCAGTGCTCCTGGGCAATTAAACACCTTCATATGGGAACCTTTCTTTTGAGTATCTTCAGTATATTGAATTATTGATTTTTGGCGGGAAAAGTTTCTCTCCATTTGGAGTCTTGTAGGGGAGGCGGGTTTGCACTTCAGCTCTCCAGTATCCTGGGAAAGAGCAGAGAATTAAAAGCGTAAATCAGGCACATGGCCCCAGAGGACTCTGAGACAGGGTTAGGTGTGGATTCACCAAGTGTTTAAGCTAAGCCCCTCAGGCTAAAGCGGAGATTTTTTTTAGCAAATACACACGAACGCATGTGTATACTGTGGGCTTTTGCGGTATTATCCTAATGCGAATGTATGCGCATTCGATGGATTTAATCCTGACAAATGATATCATGAGATATTTGAATGTTAAAAATGTATAATTAGCCATGACGGTTGCTTAGGGCAGCACTGTAGCGTCACACTTCCAAGGTGGGGCTTCTTCTGCATGTTCTCCGCATGTACTGCAGATCTCCTCATGCAGGTCGAAGACACATTGCAAGGCAAATCATCATGTCTAAATCTGATTGCACGTGTATGTGCACTGCAATGAAATGGTATCCCATTCTGGATGTACCCCTACCTTGTGCAGCCTGCTGCCCCCCAGATAGATAGATACTGTAGATAGATAGATAGATGGATGGATGGATGACTTCATGTGCCCTTTAACTGTTTAACCTACTTCTGTGACCTGGACATTTGTGGATATTTGAAAATGCCCAAGAATTTTAATGTGTTATGGAAATAACATATTAATATTAAGAAAGGATTAATATATAAATATACCATTATTTCATACACTAAGGCAGCCTTGAATTTCTCTCCTTACATAAACTTGTGACTGTCTTTTTACAGACTAATAAGAGGCATAATAAATGTTTAAATTGAATTCATAAGTCATTTCAAGAACAGTATTTTAAAATAAATGTGTGCTCTGCTCCCGACTGCTCTCAGGTCGACTGTGTGTAACATAGACATGATGACCAAGAAAAAGCCCCCCATGAAAAGCTGGCTATCTTCAGTAATACTTGCCTGCCCCCCCCCCCCCAAAAAGCTGGCCACTTTCAGCTGCACCCCTGCTCCCCAGCCGCCCTCCTTGTGAATATTTGTCCTTCTCCCCCAAATAAATGCCATCTTCAGTAACACGCCCCCCCAGGTCACTAAGCCAGAGGGGGCAGATAGGCAGCTGTTGGTGGCAGTGGTGACCTTAGCGCTTAAATGCTGTCTGGGAGGTCGGCTGTAACCCAGATGTAGATGGATGGATGGATGGATGATCACATGAGGAACCTTCCCAGCTGGCGTGGTTGATCAATAGGCTCTTGGGAGATGGGGTGATTTCCACCTGTCACTGTCACAGGGTCTCACCCTAAGCCTGCTCAGATGGCAGGGAGGGTGTCTCCCTCCCCACGCCCCCCCAAGGCCCGACCCTGTGTCCCATGGTCCCAGCAAAGTGAGGTTTAATCGTTAATATTTCCATGATGGATGGACGTCTTGTCTTCGATGGCCCGTGGAACGTTGTGGGGGAGGGTGGGGGTGGGGGTGGGGGTGGCGGGTTGGGGCGGCACACTGGAAAAAGAGGGAGAGTGAGAGTGTCGATGAAAAATGAGAAGACCTCCTTCTTCAGTTAGCATCATCTGATATCCTGTGGGATTCTTCCCTGGGCTGATTTCTGAACCCATTAGAGGAACTTAAAGTTTGAGCGAGATCCATCACACGTCTCCTCAACCTTCTTCCTAACATCTGATGGATGGATTCCCCTCGACTGCCCAGTGTCTCTATATGACCTGAATATGCTGACGGCCTGAGCCGATTCCCTGGCACACAGGGGAGTTCTGCTATGTGTGATGGCTGTCATTTTCCTTCCGTTAAAAATAAGCAGAATTTCAGGAACGTAGTGGTTAAGGTGATGTTTCTCTGTCTCCAGGCTGGAAGTTGAATCCCGTGGTGGGTGCAGTTTACAGCCCAGAATTCTATGCAGGTAAGTCACAGACAATCCTGGTGAATTCTCCTTGTATCTGTAGAATGCGTTATTTAAGCATCGAACACCTCAGGTAACAGTTACTGTGTGGCCCAGTGAAAGCTTTGGCTTTCACTTGATCGCCTTTGGTCTGACCATAGGTGACATCAGGGGTGTTTCTCAATACCAAGAACGAGAAGATCGTACTTGTGGTCTTGGCAAGACTGGTGTTACTAACCTGCCTTCCAAGAATGAACTTAGGGCACAGTGAATCATGGGATTGCTCTCGTTTGACATGGATGCAGCTGATGTATCCTTGATATTTGGGGTGCGGCAAGAACGACATCTGAGGATTTTTACCATCCTCTTGCACTTCTGTTCTTGTGTATTAGAACTGGTCTTCGGCAGTAGAATATGACGTAAAACGGGTACACAAGAACACAAGTACGGTCAAGTACGCATATTGAGAAACACTGCAGTTGTTTCTGTGCAGGTGGAGTCAGTGCAGTTGTACAGTGATGTCTTAAGCAAATTTTCTGTCCCACCCCCCTTTCTGCTCAAACGCCCTGGAATGTGGCAGAGCTTTGCATCAGATTCTGGTCCAGAGTAAAAGCAGAAGTGACATGCACATGACACCCTTTAAGAGTTTTAGCGAGCGATAAGGAAACCATCTGGTTCGACATACCCCCAGGGGCCACGGGGCAGGGGTACGGCAGGCCAGCACGCTCACTTGGTGCTTTAATTACTTCCATAACGGTGGGTCGAGGAGGTGGGGCCGGCAGGGTGCTTATCCAGACGCGTGTAAATGATGGGTCTTCAGGATTAGCACAGGCCAGATAAGGTGTTAAAAAACATGCCTTGCCCTGTTTGTGACCCCAGGGTGATGGTGGTGCTGCAGAGACGGCGGTTAGTAGATCAGGGCATGTACCTGAAGTTCTGCGTTCCTCCTCAGAGGGGCGCTGCCCCTGGCCCTGAAGTTTACCTACCCAGCTGTTGTGCTGTGTGGGAAGGGCAGGAGACCTGTAACGTTTGGATGACTGAGTACAAACAGCTTAACCCCCCCCCCCCCACACACACACACACACAGACTTTATAAACCTGAATGTGCGGCGGATGGATGGATGGGGGGGTACGTTAGCTTTTATCAGTGAGCTCATTACTCACCCTAGCCATCCTAATCCGGCCCCCCACCCCCTGCCATAATCATGCCCTGCCATTACTGTGAAAAATATCCAGATTTTATGATTCTGGGAACAATGCAGGAAAATGAGAAGAAAAATCTAATTGTCACCTTGTACAAGGGCACCAAGGGGGCTTGGAATATATTTTGTAAATTAAAATCAATATTTTCCATTTCTTTAGACAATCGTTTTCCTAATTTAGTGCACAATCTGTTAATTGTGAAATGGCACAGTATCGATTGGCTCCCGTCTCCGCTGTGCCACCCCGCTTCCCTCTCGGCCCAAAGGCCTCCACCGCCTGTTTCGTTTTGGCCTTGGCTCGGATGTCTAGGCCCTCAGTAGCGCCTAACATCATTCGTCTTCTTAGCATTTGAGTCTTTTAAAGTAGATCCTTCTGACTGGATTGTCAGAAAATTGTGCCTTATTACATTTTTAAAATATTGAATTTGTATTGTTTAGAGTGGGAAAACAAACTATCTGTAAGTCTGTCTGGAGGGTGACTGTAGAAACCTGTGAGCATGTGACTATATGACAGATCTTGCGATCGCCTCCAGAGCTAGAGCTTCACTGCAGGGCGCCAACACATCATACATCACGTCCAGCGGCTCGGCTCTGTTCAAATAACCCGTCGGCAGAAGCTATAAACTGCTAAAATTGAACAATATTCGTATTATACGGCACTCAAATTTACATAAGTCACTTCATCCACTGAGCACTTGTGGAGGGAGAGTTGGAGGAGGAGAGGGAGAGTGAGCGTTGGGCAGGTGAGGCACGGCAAATGGGTGATATGAAAACATGCCGTGCAGGAGGATTCTGGGAGTCTGAGTGCCCAGAAGACACCTCAAGGAAGGAACTTAATCAATTGAAAATTCTCCAGCAAAAAGAGAAATGTAGCAATTCAGATATAGAGGTTTGATATTTTGGCTTTAGGTTTGTTATCCTTTATTATAAAAACAGTGTTTTCAGTCTGAGGCATTAGCTAAAGAGAATTAACCTGTGTATAGAGCAGCATGCAGCTTGCAGCTGGGGGAGGGTTTATGACATCCCAGAATCCTGGGTGCCTCGGGAGAAAGCGGGATTATCGATTTTCAAATTGGCCTGAACCTGATCCGCGGGAGCAATTCTCATATCCTAGGAGGAGAAAAACAAAACATGTCTGCGCTTCTAAATCCCGCTCGGACATCTGCCTCTGCCGCGGAGCCGTCCACTGCCCACAGAGCACCCGCAGGATAAAGCCACGTTGCTCGTGGTTGGGTCAGCTGCCGGCGCCCAGGGTCGGCCAGGGTGCAGACACGCACCGGGTTTCGGATCTGAGAGACAGTGGCTCTGAGGCAGCCATCTGAAATGCGGGGGAGTCACAGCGTCGATCCCATGGCGTGATTTCGGGACGCACTGGAGACACGGTAGCAGGCATCTCTGCACACAAACACTCCTTTGAGTGTCAATGTCCATGTGCAGAGAGGGAATTATGGTCCCGTTTAACACTTCTGGTGCCTGCCAGAGTCCAGCCCTGGATTTTTTTATTCCATGTTTTATTTTTGTCTAAGGTATGCCTTTGGACAGCTATGAAGTGGAAAAAATATCCTTTAGATTTTTATTTGCACCTGGAAAATTCCGTAGGATTTGGGCCCGGAATGGCAGCCAAGGATGACTTAACTTCCTTTGTACCGTGGAGGCACAGAGGGGGCAGGCAGCTGGTGGTTTGCCAGCGGGGAGGGGGGGTGTCTGTGTGCCCTGAATGCGGAGCTCGGGCGCGGTTCTGTGAAATCCACCTCCTGAAGAATCTCCGGGTCGATCGCATGATATTCAGAGGTGCAGATACGGGGGCGGGAGAGCAGTTCAGCTACCATGAGTGCCCCCACCATGCAAAGCAGGAGGCGTGTGGAGCTGCGGGCCGCACTGTTCCCCAGTCCCTCAGCCTCCTGCTACAGCAGAACGACTGAATGTTTATAGGGCAGAAGATCCTCTAAAGCCCTAAAACACGACCAGCCACCAAACTGGAATGATTTTCCGTTTCCGTCAGATCTTAATAATACCTTAATTTCATGCAGGTTTAATAGGTGGCTTAGGGGGACAGCAATGCTGTCTCACACCTCTGCGTTCGGAGGTTCAAATCCCACCCCTGAAGTCGGAATGAGTGATACCTGTATATGTAGGATGTGAGCCCTATGATGGACTGATATCCCAACGTGGGTGAACCCCTGTTGCCTGGGCTGGGTTCCAGAGTTTCTCTGGATAAGCTGTTGAAAGAATAAATAACAGAGTTTCCGTGCACTTGGAGATATCCATCCGCTACCTGGCATTTAAAAAGTGTCATTTGGCCGGCATATTGGATATCGTTACGCATTTTTTGTCAATATAGACTAAATTTATTTGCCGCACATTGTAACATTTCTGACGTGCAGGGGTACGCACCTCTGGCTCTGGTCTCCGAATAACACCGGTTTTTGCATATTACAAACAGCCATAACTGCCAGGGTTGCATGTGTCTCGGATTTACATTCGGGTCCCTGGCGACAGTGCCGCTCCACAGCCAGTGCAATCGGCCCGGGAGTCTCCCACAGATCAGCGGTGGGGAGCAGCAGCCAGTGGCTAATGCATGATTAAACTGTCTGATATGCTTATTAATCACCTTCATTTTTTAACTTCAATGCTTAATTTTCTGATTAGATGTGCGTTAAGTTCTATAATTAAACTAATAGTTTAAATGAGAGTAGAGTTGGGTAGTTATTCATTCTAGGGACTTCACGGCAGCCTAAGTGTTATTAATTAAACCAGGGAAAGAGGAGCGGAATATATTTAAATGACGTTAAATCGGTACCTGAGAGCGATTTCAACATCTGTGATGTGAAGACTCTTACGGATTAAAAAAAGGACAGTAAGTGTTCGGCTTCAGCAGGATCGGATCCCTTTGCATATTATGCGCTTTTCAAAGCTGTTTATTTACTTCCTGGGAAGATGGAATAGGCATTATCCATCAGCGAGCTTGCCGTCTGCAATCCTCTGAAATTAGCCAAATGGTACCTTTGCCCATGCTAGTTCCTGGCGTATAAGTGTGTATTATTTTATTTATCATTCTATTTAAATATTGGCCACATCTAACCGGAACAGAAATATCCCACAGTGTCTGTAAGAGCGTGTGGAAGAGTCTGGTGGATTATAGGGGAAACGGTATAACATAGGATACATAATAGACATCAGGACCACAGTCAGCACTCGTCCATCATCTCGACTTTCTAATAATAAATAAATAAATAAATGATAACAGCATCTGGAACCAAACAATCTGGGGCAGCAAAGGAGGCAGTGGGCCGATTCTCGTACTTTATTGGGCGTTTGGTGTTATAATAGGAAGAGGGATTAAACAGCTGTAGCCGCATTAAAAGAAACAAATGAGGGAAGATTCATTGGCTCTTTCATTCCCATAATGTGGCCACAGCTGGAGATTCCATAGCGGCAGCGAACAATGGCGGGAGACACCCCCCCCCGGGTAATTGGCAGTCTATTTCTAACGTGAATGTGGGTCCCGGCTAAGGGATGAAGGACGCCGGACCCAAGGAAGGGAAACAAAAGCCAAGTCAGGGATGAATCTCATTAAAATAAACTTTGGAGCCGCTGTCAGATATGAGGGGATTACAGACACACACACAAACAAACACACAGGCACACACACACACACACGCTCTCTCAAACAGACACACACAGACACACACACAGGCTCTCTCACAAACACACACACAGGCACACAGGCACACACACACACACACGCTCTCTCAAACAGACACTCACACAGGCTCTCTCACACACACACACACTCTCTCAAACAGATACACACACAAACACACACACTATCTCAAACACACTCACACAGGCTCTCTCACACACACACACACACACACTCTCTCAAACACACACACACAAACAGAGACACACACACACAAACACACACACTCTCTCACACAGACACACACAAGCACACACATAAACACACACACTCTCTCAAACAGACACACACACAAACAGAGACACACACACACGCACACAAATGCATATGTGCTGTTTTTTTTTTCAGCGCGGCCAGAACTGAAGGAGGCTCTCCCTAAACTGTGCTCTTAGCAAAGCGGTTATTTTGCAGAATTATGCAAAGTGGAAAAGCTGCCAGTGCCCCCCTCCCCCCGCACAACACGGAGCCCGTTTTCCATGTGCTCATGGACTTCGCTCACTTTTCCATGTGTCCCAAATCCATTTTCCCCCAGCAAGACCTGGGCTGACCTCGGAATCGCGGCTGTGAGTGGAGGTAGAGGTTGTGCTGTCGCACCCTCGAGCTGAGGTACTTTAGCAAAATTGCTTTGGTGCAGATAAATTTCACAGGACTCGCCGTGGGGGCAAAAGGCATCGCTAGCATGCGAGTTAGCCGCGGCGATAATTTAGCAGCCATCTAACGAGACCCACATTCAAGTGTAATAAGTGTGAGTAAATGCAATAAAGCAGAGGGCCACTTCCGTCAAATGGGGGTGTCTGCGGTAGAACTGGGTTTCTGTGGGAGGGGGTCCCACGTCCCCCGCGAGGGGAGACATATGGAGCCACTCCCCAAGAACCGTCCACACAAAACAAATGAGAAAAATAATGACTCCATAAAAGGGGCTGTATACGCTTTACGGCTGGGGTGGGTGGCGAGCCCGCCTCCTGTGGTGGCCGACATCTGGTCCCTTTAATCTCTTCCGCTCGCTCGTTAATGCCCCCCTCGCCGGTCTCTCCCAGCGAAACGCGTTGCCATCCTGCGCTCCGGCGTCCGTGTGAAATGAAAGCGCATCATCCAAGCTGTTTACCTTGTAAATATTAATGCTCAATATAGCCGCGCTGTTTACTTTCCGTGGACCCGCGCTGCATATCGGAGACTAGATTTGAAACGTCTACTAGATGCCCTGCAGCTATCTGCAAGTATCAGTCACTGTTTTTTTTTAATTAGGCTTTTATTTATTTTTCCTGCAGTGTTTCGCTTCACTTTCACCCTCTTAGTGACGGTTGTGATGTTTTGAAGCGTTATCCCACCCTTGAAAATTGGGTCTCTGCCTCTTCAGTCTTTGAGAAATAGCTGGACACTATGTATAGCCCTTCTAGTTGCACTTGCATATCTAGGCCTACATAGCAGTCAAGAGAAATTTCTGTGGGGCCAGGCTGTCAAAGTAACAGTTAACAGCATATAAGGTGAGCCATTGTCACAAATGTATGTCCTGAACGTTTAAGCTGAAAGTTAGCATATTAATTTTGTGATAAGCCTTGGCATATTGTTGTTACTCTGTTGCCCTGCAGTAAGTGGCTAGACAGCTCCCTGCTGGGGGTGTGAGGTTGAATCCCCATCTGAATGCCCCCCCGTCCCCATGTCCCCTGTAGTGCCAGGCTTCCCGTATCCAGCGGCGACGGCAGCAGCTGCTTACCGGGGGGCCCACCTACGAGGCCGAGGGCGCACCGTCTATAACACGTTTCGGGCTGCGGCGCCTCCCCCACCGATTCCCGCCTATGGAGGGTGAGTATTGTGCCCTGCCCCCACCACCCCCACCCTCCCCCAGTGACCTCTCCCCTGCCACCACCCCTCACGGGAGCTTTGCCGGGCGCGTTGTGGCGCAGTGCATGCTGGTCTTGCCTCACCACGGAAAGCCACGCAGCATGTGACCAATCTGAATGCCTGAAGATGTGCACCTTGCAGTAAGTAATGAAAAATGACTGTAATTTGTACTGTCACGGTCGGTGGCTGTAAGCATTCTTAATGTCACATGTTGTTATGTAAATTTTCTCTGAGAATGGATGCAGCGGGAAACACGCAGCTGCAAATGGTGGAGGACTGATTTTATTTTTTTTCCCCATGTTTATGGGTGCAAGCATCCGGTGCTTAAGGAGGCTAGATGGAGTTAATTCATTGTAAAAATGTCTAAATGAGCTTAGCTAAATCCACTTTTGTATCCTTTATTCTCCCGCGATATGGATAACATAATTTTGCAATAAAATTATTTAAAAGCATTTTTTATTCTAAATTTCTGTGAATTAGCCATTAATATTGCAACGATCCAGTGAAAATTTTAAATAATTTACAGTTCAGAATATTTCCATAACTTTAGTAAAATTGTGAAAACCTGATTATGTTAACACATGCCTGCGATCGAGCCAGAAAATTTGCATATTGCTAATTTGAATGTTATTTTAACTTTAAATTCCAGATTAAAACAAAGTAAGCTTCATTTTTTAAAAAGTGAATAGTTCTGTAATAACAAAGTTTGCGCGGAATTCAACTTTAAAGTTTGACAGCATTTTTTGACTTGATTGCTTGCCAGAAGCATTACTCATTAGGTAATTGAAGAAACTGGTAAAGTAATTAGGTTATAGATAATTTAGAAGAAATACTCATACCGTGAGAGATCACTAATCATAGTTAGGGGCACATGCTCTGCAGTCGTAAATCATATTTGCCAGATTGTGACATGGCATTTCAAACTGTTATGGAGGGGCGCACAAACAGACATGTCCATCTCCTGCGATCTGAGTCCTGTAGCCTTATGATTGGTGTTGTGTTATTCATACAGTTAAAAAATGGATGTAAACTGAATCCCACGCATGAGTCGTAGGTGTGAGCCAGTGTGCACTGTGAGAGCACAGCAGCTTACTCAGCCGTCATTGGGCCTGTGATCTCCATTTCTGTGCCGTACCGCCGTCGAAACATCTGGGCTGCGGCCGCGGGTTTTTACTGCTTCAGTGTAGATTTATCAGGGAGGGAGCACACAGTGCTGACATGCATGAGTGTGTTCGGGGGCACGGGATAGAGGTCCTGCAGTACTCCCCCATAAAATCCCCCAGAAATCTGTGGGCATTACTGAAACGGAAATAGGGTTGCACTCGAGCGGGAGGATGAGCCGTTTAGCAGATTGAAGCAGGGACCCACTAGCCTCCTTATCCTCGCCAAACGTGCTTGCCAAGTCCTTCCTGTGTTTGGTTTCTGCTGTTCTGTGTGTTGAACTAACCTCGGCGATGCAGGGGTTGGTGACGCTTGCATGTGGACATGCACTAATATGGATGTTTTTGTTTTGTTTTTGTGTGTGTGTGTGTGTGTGTGTGCGTGCGGGTGTGCGTGTGTGTGTTTGCATCTTTGCAGTGTTGTATACCAGGATGGATTTTATGGTGCAGATATTTATGTAAGTATGACTTGATGTGCATGTTGTTTACCCCACACACCACGCCAACCCCCGCACCTCACCCTCCTCCCCACACCCACCTCCCAACCCTTGAAAATTTGCAGACTGGTACCTACAGTTTCTGTGTCCTTAAATTTACTATAAGTTTTAAATCTCCATTTATTTTAGCACAGAAACACCACTCACTGGATTTTATTATTACACAAATTACCTCAAGTTACGCCATCGTTCTAGTCAAATATTAATTAGTTACCCGCTACACCCATGCTGCTGTTAATCACTGGAGGTCCCTGTAACCTGGGATTTGCTGCCTTTGGATCATAGTTAGAGCAGCAGCCTCTCCTTGGGGTCAGGCTCATGGTCACTCTCTGAGCGTGAATGTTTCGCTTGGAGTCTCTGGGTTTTATCTGCCGGTGGTTTCCCGACATCCCGTCCCTGCCTTTGCCATTCTGTCTGCTAATGTCTTGTATCCCGATTTGCGGGTTTAGTTACCGGAGGTCTTGTCAAGAGTGTTAAGGTCTTGGTTAGCTGGCATCTTGTTTTCGGGTTTGTCTTCTCGGTCAGGCGGGTTCATACCGCCAGTGAGCCATGAGACTGCCATCTCGTTTCGGATTGTGGCTGCTTAGTTTCTGTATTTTGGCCACACTTTCCGGTTCCGGTCCGGGAGCTGCGCTTTCAGTCGGTAGCCTTGAGTTTCTGTGGGAGGGGGTCTCCCCACACTTACCTCTCTCTTATGGGGTACCACTTAGCAGGATGTCCGGCTTTGGACGATAAATGCATTTTAACTGGTCATAACATCACCAGTTATACATACGTTAAAGATTTTTAGGTTCCGTTTAATAAATAGTGACAGCAGGCTCAAATATGCAAGAATGAGAGGCCGGTGTTTTTTGGAACATTTGTTCTGTAACAGGAAGCTCAGGTACTGGTTGGGCAGCTTTGCAGCGACGATGACAGAGCTACACCTGTGACCAGAGACAGGCCTTGGTGATCCTGATGCTCAGATGGTCGTAAGACGCTGCAGGAACAAGCGTCTGAAGCAGCAGATGTTCTCCAGGCGGCCCTGTGATGGTGTGCAGAGGGTCAAGTAGCGTCTTTGGCTGCTTGAAAGTTGAACTTCACTGTGATGATCGTCAGTTTGATTTTGGAGCGCAACCTGTAGTCAGTGTTTATACTGGAGCCCAGCAGCAGGAGAGGATCTGAGGTACAGTGGGAGCAGGTCCCCAGACCCCGAGGCCCCAGTCTGTGTCACAGACTCGATCTGAAGTGCAGTGGGAGCAGGTCCCCAGACCCCGAGGCCCCAGTCTGTGTCACAGACTCGATCTGAAGTGCAGTGGGAGCAGGTCCCCAGACCCCGAGGCCCCAGTCTGTGTCACAGACTCAGGGTTTAAAGCACGGTGATGATCTCACAGTGCCAGAGCGTTGAAGATGAAGGCTTTGGCTGTGCTAGCGGCGCCCCCCCCCCCCCGCAGACTCACCGGCCGCAAAGGGGACATCTGTGGGACGCTCCCGGAATTGGACGGGCTCTTGGAAACACTTCGATCGCCACCAGTGTCCAGCGACTTCAAAATGCCACATAACCCACGGGTGCCTGGCGCGTGATTGGACGAGCCAGAGAGTGACCGGATGCCGTTAGCGCCGGGTTGCCCGCTGTGCACGGCAAGACCAATCGCCGACACAGACGGTGCATATTCACTTGTAGCATCCGGAGAGCCGCATTTACGTTTTTGAGCGGGGCCCCATCAAAAGTAAACGTGGTAAATTTTTGATGAGGTTGGGGAAATTGAGTTATGGCAGATACACATTCAGGCATTGGCATTTCTGGAGCCTGGGGACAGACGGGGGGGATCTGTGACGCTGATGGTGATTTCTGCATAGGGGGTGGTTTTGTGGCGCCAGACAAAACACTCTGTTGCTGGAAATGGAGGATGTGTCTGTTCCCAGCCCCAGTTCCCTTTCAGAGGATGGTATTGTTATATATCATATTTCTGAATGTGTACACATATTACCGTGCTGAAATCTCAGCAGTGTAGATCTGGGAGGAGCCGTCCCAGGTCCGTTCCCTTCTCGGTGGGGTGGCGGACACAGCCCTTCTGGGGCTGGATCGCCAGCCGGCAGCTTGCGGCCGTCTTGGCTTGACGTCACGCACACAGAGTGGCTTTTCACCTCTTCCAATAGCCTCCTTTCCAGAAGAGGAGGAGACGGCAACAGGCATATTTATAAGACGCACATTGCCGTTTTCAACCTTGGTCAGGATTCGCAGATTGAGGCCGTACGTCTCGCCTTATCCTAATGAAATACTCTCATTCGGAGGCCAGACTGTTTGAGGTGAAGATAATTTCACCATTGGACCACAAGGCTAAACTGATTCGCTTTGATAATTAAAAAAAAGCAAAACATTGTAATTAAATCGCGCCAGGTCCAGACATATGGCTTTCACGGTCTGCCGCCTGCTGTCGACAGACAACATAGATCCCCCCGTAGAGTTTATTGCGGTCACACAGGCACGTAGGTGCAGACGTGTGAGCGGTCGTGCGGCAGGCGGCACTGCCGTCTCTCACTGTGCACCACTGAGTCTGCAGGTGAATCATTCTCAGGGTTTAAATGATCTTGAACAGGACAGGGCTGCCTTTCTGAGAGCTTCGGGGCCCTCAACCCCGGGCCAAGCCATCGCATAGCGAGGAGCGGCCTCTTTGTTGGTCTGACGTGCCGAGACTCCGCCCGCCTCCCCTGGTCTGTGGGACCACAGCCTGCCCCATCTGATAGGCTAGGCACTGCACCCCCACCCTCCGCTCACCGGCCGGCCTCGTTTGTCCCGTCTGCTTAATTGAGCAGCTGACGTGACTGTTGCACATGATAAAATTAGCCAACTGTTTCCCCCGTAATGAGATTTGCATAATTAATTCAGAATTTCCTTAACACCTTTAACAAATGTGCCAGTGTGATTACAGTGTTGTGGGGCGGTGGCGTAACAAGCAGCCCAGGCTCTCAGCACCTCCCAGGCCGGCATATGCTGCCGCTGGCAGCTGGATCTAATCGCCGCAGTGTATCACTGCCGCTGATTTACACTCTCTCCAACAGAAGGGGGCGCCACTACATCCGCTTTCTGTTATCGTGAATGATGTTTGGGCATTTAAAAACAAGGGATTGGTGTGCATCTGTCTCAGGGGGTGCTCCCCCCCCCCCCCTCCAGGAGTACTGAAAGCCACAGGAGGATTGTTACGCTGCTGGGTGGGGGTGGGGGTGGGGAGGAGGCTGGTTATCACAGTGCAAAGCAAACATGCGTGTGTGTGTGTGTGTGTGTGCGTGGTTTCAGGGTGGTTACACTGCGTACAGATATGCCCAGCCTGCTGCCACTGCTGCTGCCTACAGCGACAGGTAAGACCTGCCCCCCTCCCTCCCCGTCGCACCCGCCTCGCACCCGCCACCGTGCCCCCACCCGGCCCGCTTCCCGTCTTTGCGCCCCTATGGCCAAGCTGCTTTATTAGCAGGACGCCACCTCTCGATCTAGGCAGAGTCATGAGAGCTGGGCAATAATTGGCAGATTAAATCAGCCAAGATGTCACCCTGGCTGTAATTGGCAGACGGGAAGCCGCCGGAACAAAGGGGCAGTTGCAGCTGGAAAATGTAGTGGGATGGACTCCACACTCCTGTAGATAAAGTAATAAGACGTTTAGGGTCCAGCGGGGGAGGGGGCGGGGGGGGGGGGGTTCCATTTTGCAGACCGAGTTTGAGTCTCACTTAACCTCCGTCATTTTGCAGCCAGAGCTGCATTTACCCGACACGCTCCCACATGTTTGTACCAATGAATCAAATCCAGGGAGGAAATGCCCTCTCCGTAGCTGTAAGCCTAAGGGGCGGGCCTTACCTCATCCATGTCATCTCTTTCTACTGCCCTGCTCACACCAAGGGAGAATTTCCAGCCAATGGAACTCTATGGTTTAAAAGAGTGTTGCCAATTGGAGGCCTTCATTGACATTGCACTTCTTAGCCAATGAGGGCCCATATGCAGTGGCTGCAGTATTCTGAGCAATCACTGATACTGATGCTGCACAAATTCACAGGCATGGAAATTCTTTCCCTTTGACGGCATTACTTTTTTGTAAATGTAATTATTATTTTTCAGATATAGTCTTACTAATTCATTCTAGAAAAAAAGATATATTATGGTTAAAAAAATACATATATTGCTCTAATAATAAAAAAAGAATAACTCAGTAATGAGTTTGGTTAAATATGTAGAAGAAGAAGTAAAAGTTAATTTTAAATTTAGATTCACACATTGCATATTTAATTGTAATACATTATGACTCTTTAAACATTTAAAGCGCTCAGTAATGTATTATATTCTGTTAATATGGTTTCTGAACCACCAGTCCTATGTTCTCTGTACTTGCTGCAAGGCAAATTGGCAAATTGTAACTCCTCTATTCACATCTAGCTTAATTAGCAGGGATCCACTGAAATTATTCACTTTAATTCATGCTTTTGTTTTTGTAAGTCTGCTTCTTTTCCATTTTTGTCATATGCTCAAAACATTCATTAACTTTAGACGATAGTCAATAATGTTCAGCAACTTGTTTACATGTTTATTGCAGTCCATTGCTCAATTAAGGGCCATTTTTTTATTGTCCAAAATGTCTGCCCTTTATTCATCTTTATTTGGTGGAAACAACCCTTTTGTTGAGTTATAACTGAGTCTCCATGAGGGACACCAGCCTCTCCAGTGAAAGACGCTGCGGCGCCCCGGCGGGTGTCCTACCTGAGCCCCAGATTGTCCCCTGCGAGGGGTTGGCTGGACGATTTGTAGGCAGTGCGCTGGGTGCCGTGTGATGCAGGCAGCCACTCGCTCGGTCACAGGGACAGAAAGCCGGGTTCAGGTTGCACGACCGGCCCAATGAGCTGCCACTCCATGCCTTGCCTGGGCTGTTGCTGGGCTTGTTTGCAAGCGCTAAGATTTAGGAACGGGTCACGCCTGCTCTCAGTTTCCGTCTCCCCCGGTTACTGCGCTCCACCCCCACCCCCTGTGCATGCGAGGTCACATGTGGGTCGTTGGGTTTCCCTGGCTGTTAGCATGCATGCCACCTCAATATCCTGCATGGAGACTGTTAAGGACTCGTCCAAATGTCGCTGACGGGTGCTATGGCAGCAAGTTCTGTTTTCGGGAAGTCAGGCCATACCCGATGACTGGACGATGAAGGTGCACGGTTAGTCTGTCCTTTGAAGTAGGGGCACGTTGTCAAATAAACTTCGGAAGTGCTGTCTTTGTGGCAAGATTGTGGGTCAGAGGCTTGTTTGTACGTCGGCATCAGGATGACACCGTTTGTTGGTGCTTTACAGTCCGTCATACACGCCGTTTTTTTCCCCTCAGTTTTTGTCACGTTTTATTTTTCTCACCAATTTTAGACTGATGCACATTTGGCCTCGATATCTATACATTTTTTCAGCATGCTGGTTTTTTTCAGTTTCTTGCTGTTTATCAGTGCGTTTTATCTCGTGAATAAAACATACCACCACTGAATATTTTTAAATGTATTCAAAGTTTTCGAAAGATGCAAATCTAAACTGTAACATTGTGTAATGTTAATATTATTTTTAAGTATTCAGATTTTTGCTAACTTTACTAGCTATTATCACCCAGTTTTTCTCTAGCTTACCGTTCAGTATCTGAATTTGGCTGCCTAATGTCTTGCCAGCCAGCAAGAAAACTTCACTGCTGCTTCACGTCTCTGCTGACTCCACCCTCTTTTTGAGCTGCCAATGAGATTACACTTTGTAGGCGGGCTAAGAACCAGGATGTGGAGCAAGGCAAGTCGCTCACAGGCACATGACAGAACCTGTGATACTGGAGTCAGATCCCTGCTGATTCCCTTCCCACCCTCAGCTGGACCTGGCTGATGTACTCTGCCACTCAGAGCTATCAGCCAATCGGCTGATGTGCTTTTTCCTGGATTTCAGTGTTATTTATGACATTCTAAGGATCTCCTCTGGGCTTCTCTCTTGTCCCTCCATGGTGCCCGTGGGGATGAAGCAGAATCTTCATTATGTTAAGCAGCGTTCTTATATGCCGTGAATGAGGTCTGGCACACGCTGGGTGCCTCATCAGTGATGTCAGCTGAAAAATATTTATATAAGTCAAGGAGAGCCTATTGATTTTTTTTCTGCTTGTGGTATTAAATTTCACCCAAACTTAAAATTCCTCACACACATGTGAAAGAAGCAATTTGTTTTAATAATCAATACAGTAATTTTCCATTTCCGACATCGTATTAATTAGAGTTCTGCTCAACACCACACATTCAGTGCTGTGACCTTGTGTTAGTCCTTTTTTATTCTATTATGTACTTCATGGGGTTTTGGACCAGAATATAGCCTCCTTCAGTTCTCATGTGATACCAGCTGGGCTGAGCTGGGTTTGGTTGGGCCAGATTCGCTCATGTCTTTCGCTTATTCTTTTAGCCAAGGTTCGAACACAGTGTTTCCTAAAATGATGTCTGTGCTAATATGATCGCGTGTCATTCTGTTTCGGCTATCGTCACCCTCCCAGGGTTTATTTATGAACGTCCATTATTTGTCACGCCCCAGGAAGATCAGCTAGCTGACCTCTTTCCTGTCCCTGTCCCCTGATCAGCCATCGCCACACGACGCTGGATGGGCACAGTAACGGGGTTCCTGTGCGTAGCAGCCTTAATAGAAACTGTAGGCTGTGGGTGTGAGAGCAAGTGTCTCCCCCTAGCAGGCAGAGCAGAGAATGCATGGGATGCCAGCCTAGTCAGCTGACAGTACCGTAAAGCGTCTCCTACTACTGTTGAGCTTTTTAAATTCATGTCTATAAGTCTCTTGACTTTACATTTTAATGACATTTAATTTATAGAGAAGAGAAAGTCTTACTTTACCTGACCTCTCTTATGACAGGCAAGCCTTGCAGTCAGATCGAAATGACAAAATTTACTGTTAATCTGTATTTTTCTGGCCCACTAACTGCTAAGGGGCGGATCTCGCCTGTGTCACATGACCATATGATAGCCGCAGAGTCCCCAAGCAGCTCACCTTTAAGTTAAGGGAGAGGACAAGTCACAACACAAATGAACAAATTAAATAATCATTCATAGTGATGTCATTGTCATCACTGGTTTGTAAGAACAATAATCTGCACTCCGCAATGTTTGCATTGCTTATCCTCTATTAAAAAGTGCTACATGGAACATTAATTGCAGTAAACATTCCCATAGGAACATATCTTTGTTAATAAACATTTACATTTTAAGCCAACAGAGGAATAGAGTTATCTTAGAATGAATCTGCATGCGTTATAAAACGTGAATCTGAACTTTTAAGTTTAATTTATCACACACACAAACATACACTGCATATTGAAATGCTTTTGTTTCCAGGATTGTGCACAAAAGAAGGTAATGCAAAGAAAAACAGAATAGTATAAAAAGATGATATGACTAAAATAAAACAGCAATCAAAATAAGGCCACAAAATATCAATAAAGATGGAGAGCAGTAGCTGTACAGAGAGTGTGGTGCGGTGTAAAGTGTGCAGAGTGACGCTGACAGCCATTTATGGTGTGCTTATTCATTTCAGTGTTGTCCCACCATATGCATGCCCCCCCTTCCCGTAAGGAGGCACTCGCTCGGCCCGTGGCCCCGTCCGCTGGCTCTTCTGAAGGCCCCTGGGGGGTCTTACTGTCTGTTGCCAGTTTTTTCGTTCCCCTTCCATGAAGCGGTGACAGTGAGCATGCTCTCTGCGGCGCATGGGTTCGTCTGTGCATTGACGCCATAGTCTGTGCTCTCGGAAGTGCATGTTGGTATCACACGGTATTGTGTTTCCGTGGTGACGATGTGTCTTCGTGCGGCGGCGTACCCGTCGCACTATGGGCGCTGATCGGCATAGCGCCACCAAGGGGGCCGATTCAGTATAAAAGCTTCACGGGGGTTGATGCTCTGCACCAAACTGAACGGCTAAATCACCGTCTAATTGGGATTGGAGCGATCAATCGTGTGCCTGGAATTCAACGTTAGACCCCCACCCCACCCCCACTCGCCGCAGGTGATTACTTTAATGACCCTGTAGAAACGTAAAAATTCAGAAAAATGCCCCACCTGCAGGCTTCCTGACTTCAGAGTCGTCGATAGATTCGCATTCACACGCATGGCCGCGCAGCCGTGCAGCTGTGCTCTGTGCCAGTCGATTATGTCTCCTACACCCTGTCAAAGTATAAACAGACTAATAAGAAGCTTGGCCATCGTTTACTGCTCTGCAAACTTTATCAATGGTGAGAGAAAGAAGCACAGCTCCGTGGGGGCGGGCAGTAAAATCACAGGCCCCCCTTGTCAACATGTGCAGACACCTTCCTGCACATGTTCTGCAGGCCTGAACGGACCTCTGGACATGGGACGGCTGGTGAGAGAAGCTCTTTTAGCTGGTGAATCGGCCCCCATTTCCCAGGGAGGAACCCGGCCCCGGTCATGTGTTCTGTGCAAAGCTGTTTGTTTTATTGCTTATTGTCGTTTTCTTTTTTTCTTTTTTTTTTTTTTTCGTTTTCCTCCATATGAGTATTCCAGTGCCGCATGTCGTTGCTCCACATCTAAGCGTGGCCGGCCCTTCGTGTGTGTGGGGGCTGCTTATGATTTGAAGTCTATTGACCGTCGACCACGCCCCTCTATCGATCCTCAGACAGCTAGCAGTATTGTGAATTTTATCTTCTCTTGCAGAAATCATTTCGTCTTCGTTGCAGCAGATGAAATGTCTTGTAACACCTCTTCAGGTAAAATAAACAAACGAAATGAACGAATCACCCCCTCCCCCCTTCCCACTCTCCTGCTGCATCCACTCGGGATTCTGCATTTGTTTATTATGATTTATCAGTTTTTTTTTGTTTTGTTTGTTTTGGTGACGCACCCAACGCGAGAGCTTGTCCTAACAGCCTGTGAGCAGCTTTCTTATTATTCTTACCCCTCAAAAAGCCAGTATTACTTTCCGTTTTGTCTCTGAACGCTGTTTTTCTAGTGCATCCATCCACAGTCTGTCCATTATCCATTCATCCCACTTCGTGGACAGGCCACCTGTCCTTAAATGAGGAAATAAACACACAGGCACAGCAAGTTGGGGGGACTTGTGTTAATCCTGCCTCTGTTTATTTCTGCTTTTATTTTGTTACGGTTAATGATGGAGGTGGCAGGTTGTGTGGCCACGCCCCCCATTTTCTGACTGAGTCTCGCCACCAGTGTCAGTGCTGCTCCTGTCGCCGTCCCTCGTGATTTTGCCGACTCAGCCTGACCCACTCTGCTTTAAGGCCGATGTCTCACAGGTTCGCTTTTGGTGACGGTCTGATGTTTAATCAGAGGTTTGACCCAAGGTCTCAGGGAACATGTGAGATAATTGCACATTTTTAGACGAATTGGTACACTTGCCCACCTCCCATGATGCCCTGAGCAGGCCACTACTAGGTGCTGGATACGCTTGATGATTGTTTTGAGATAAATCGGCCCCATATCCATGTTGCCTTCTTGTCAGGAGTCTGTTCTCACTCACTTCTCATAAGATGACCATGCATTTATGAAAATTTTTATATATTAAATACAGTGGAAACTGCTTATAGTGATCATAGTTATAGTGATCACCCATTTATATGGTTCAAAAAGCTTGGGACAGAATCATTCCTGTACAAATACTGTTCACATAATTTGCTTGTAGTAATCAAGCATTCCCATTTTAGGTCTTTTTAAACATGACAACATATGGAAAAAAATTTAAACTGCGGTAATTCTTTTTTTATTATTTTATCAAAGCTTATCAAGCTTATCAAGACTTATCAAAGCTTACGATAAACCGACCAAAAATGAGCCACTGAGACACAGCAACAAAACTACAATTAGTGCTTTGAGACAATGGAACGTTGTGAAAATGTGCTGTATAAATAAAATTGAATATTATGTACAGTACTGTACTATATTACAGTGTATTTGAAATATACTCTGTTCAATATTTTAATTTGTACAGGACTGTAATTTGAAAGCATTTGAAACAGCTGTACTGTATTTTGAAATCGTCAATAAAATTAAGCAAATAGCAACACTGTCCGTTTTATTACCTTATATTCATGTAATAATTATACAAATGTCAGTTAGACGGTAATCTGCCTGAGACATAAAGAAGAAGAAAATAATCGGTTATAATGATCGTCCGGTTATAATGATTAATTTCACCCCGACGTGATCACTATAAGCAGTTTCCACTGTATAAATTAATCTGACTAATCAAAAACTTACACTAAAAGAATGGCATATATCCATATATTCTAAAAAAAAAAAAAAAAACCTTTATTTTAACTGTAACTGAATTTTTTACTAAATGAGCCAGTCTAAAGATTCGGATTTGCAGTAGTGCATTTTAACATATCAGACGTTCTAATTTCTTTTTTGAAAATGAAGATGATTGATTATTACACAATTTTGAAAACTTCTATAATCCATTTTGTAATTGATTCACACTCCATTTTTGTAAAATAAACAAATAAATAAACTGCTTTAGGGAATGTGAAGTTTGTCGTGTCCTAATTTGTGGACACTGTGATTCTGTGACTCACTGACTAATTCAGCCTGTAGTTTTTTTTCTGGGTTTGGTGATGTACTGGGATTTGGAAATAAACACTTTCTTTCACTTAAAGACACCATACCCACTGCTTTTACCCCTGTAATCTTAGGCCCCGAAGGCCCTGCTCCGTTTACTGTGCAAATGTTAGCGTTTGTTGCTAAGACAAACATCTGGAGTGCTGCAGGTTCGTGGGGCTGCGTTGACCTTGCGCTGAACCTTCTTCCTCTCAGCGGATCATAAGGTCAAACGAAAAGCCTTTCAAGCACTCGGTAAACATCAGTGCTGTGCAGGTTAGCTCATTTTGTCAGAGACAGCTGTGTTAATAGTGGGCAGAAGGGCCCGCCTTGCCAGGGCGGGGGCTAACCTTGAGATCCTTTTTAGACCCCTCTCTACCAGCAGGGTTTACCAGCTCGCCGTCTGATCTCCAGGCGCCCTAAACACTCATTAAAGTAGCCGTGCAAACAGAGATAGTACAGATCAAACAGAGTATACCTGAGTACTGGCTGTACAGTGAATAACAATGACCATACTAATCTACTGTGGATTAACTTCTTAATCAAGAGCCAGTAAATATGTAAAGTAGGTCATTTATAAGCAATGCCCCATGCTCTGATTGGCTCTTATCTGGTCCAAAACCCAGGGAAGGCCCAAACGAAGCGATAAACCATTTATCACATGACCTTCTGGGATCACTAAGCCGCCTGTCAGTCAGACGCCAGGAGACCACACCGGCAAATCCAGCTTCGCCTAACAGCGGTACCGTGCAGCGAAGGGCAACCCCATCCAATTTGTTTACGTTAGGAACCCTTTGGAGAAGCTTAAAAGTGTTTGCCTTTATTACTGTTTATTTGGTTTTTATTTAGGTATTAGATATGACCTCATGACCCTGACCAAGATAAGTAGTATTAAGATGGATGGATGGATGGATGGATGAAGAAGTATTAAAAATGAAATAGTATGTGGATGGTAGTTAACATATAATTGTTACAGACTTGTAAACCTGTCACTGACCTGACTTTTGGAGTCGTTTCGCAGCATAGGACCGGACATGGTGTGATAAGTCACTCCTTAGCACTCCTAGTTTTGGAAGCACAAACTCCAGGTGGGGGTTGTTGTCGTGAACTGAGCTGAAGCCCAGGTGCAGATCCCCTGCAGCGACAGTGAAGGCATGTGATAGGGGGGTCACCCTGCAATGCGGTGAGATCACAAGCATGCAGAGAAGGGTCACCCTATGATTGGGGTAGGTCACAGGCATATGATGGGGGGGGGGGGGGGGTCAGCCTACAATGGGGGGAGGTTATAGGCATATGCTGGGGGGGGGGGTCACTCTGCGATGGGGGTAGGTTACAGACATATTATGGGGGGGTCACCCTACGATGGGGGTAGGTTACAGGCATATGCTGGGGGGGGTCACTCTGCGATGGGGGTAGGTTACAGACATATTATGGGGGGGTCACCCTACGATGGGGGTAGGTTACAGGCATATGCTGGGGGGGGTCACTCTGCGATGGGGGTAGGTTACAGACATATTATGGGGGGGTCACCCTACGATGGGGGTAGGTTACAGGCATACGATGGGGGGTCACCCTGTGGGGGGGTAGGTTATAGGCATATGCTGGGGGGGGGGTCGCAGTAATGTGATGGGGGGAGTGACCTTGTGATAAAGCGATGTGTGTCGCTGGGAAACCCACATATGTCGTGTGCAGGTTCAGGACCTGCAGACTTTATCTCCTGTGATGTAGGCAGAATGTACCATTTCATCTTTAGATGGAAGGGAATGATCACTGTAAAACACTATGCTTTCATTAAAAAGGTCAGCTGGCACTTGCGAATGTCAGGACATTCTTTAAGTGTCGTATAAATGAGTTTCCTGTGTATATATTATGATATGAATTAATATTGCACGATCACAAAGCTGTAATCTAAAGGGAATTTCATTATTTGTGATGTGTCAGTTTGTACTTTTCCCTAGTGAGCTATAGATTAAGTGACATCCTCTCTTGCAACTTGTGTTTATTTGATACTTTGGTTCGTAGCAACTGAAAGTCGAGGGAATGGTTATAGTTTATGTGTGTACTCCCTGGGATTCAAATCCATGACCTTCGTGTTGTTTTAAGAACATAAGAACATAAGAAATTTACAAACGAGAGGAGG